AGAGAGAGAGAGAGAGAGAGAATTTTTAATATTTATTTTTTAGTTTTCGGCAGACACAACATCTTTGTTTGTATGTGGTGCTGAGGATTGAACCCGGGCTGCATGCATGCCAGACCAGAGTGCTACCGCTTGAGCCACATCCCCAGCCCCAAATGTCTTTTCTGCATTTAAATCCTGTTTTCCCTGTGGTAGCTGTCCTTCAACTCACATTAACTTCCACCTTGTTTAATTTTTCTTGGACTTACTCTATGTGCCACATGCCACTGCCCCTGCACCATGTCACACCATTCCTAGCCTTAAGCAGCTCCATTGCCATCACTTTGTTTTAGCAGAGCATAACAATATCTGGTTCACTATTTGTTCCTTTAATTACTTCACATATGTATCTTACCTCTTCAACCAGACAGTAAATGCATTGTAAGAAGAGGCACTAATTCAGAGTCTCTTGTACCCCTGAACTCCTGATATGAGGTCAGCTAAGGAATTATAACTTTTAACTCTTGCCATCATCATTTACTCTGGTTGGCAAAGAATAAAATATTTAGTAAAGCTAGCTTAGTAAGATAATGAAGAATAGGCAAAGCTCTATTGAATATCTGTTTTACAAAGGCTGTATTTGTCCATGAATACATAGTTAATATTTAATGGATTCTAGCTCAGTAGAATATGATATTTTGTGAAAAAATGATTCTAGATATTTTGTGATCCATTTTACTTCTAAAGATATAATAAATTTTATAAGAGACTTTGAGATTTTGTTCGTCAACTCCAGATTCCATATCCAATTGCCTATTCAACATTGCCATATGGATAACAAAATGACTTATTGAAAACTGAGTTCTTGGTATTCATCCTCATCCAAAGAAAGAAAGAAAGAAAAACAAAAATCTCACCAAATTTCCTATCTCAAATAACGGCAACTAGCATTTGCTCAGATCTGGAGTCTTAGAATTATTCAAAATCTTTTCTTTTTCTCCAACTCTGTATCCAATCTCAGGAAACCCTGTTGGTTCTATCAAGAGTATTAAGCTATGAATGAACTGTCCACAGTTTAATCAATGCCCACCGTCTTCATTGTTCCCACCTTAGACCAAATTGACCATCATCTCTCACATGGATTGCAACGACATCCTGCCTAGTCTCTTTTTCCATCCTTGCAAAACTTTTCCCTCTTCAGAACATCTCAGTGGCTTCTCACTCCACACAGTGAAATCTAGAGTCCTTTCAAAGGCCTAGAAGATTGTGCATGAATTGGAACCTGTGAAATTTTCAGCAGCATCTCCTGTTACCCTCCTGCCCTCCCCCTTGTCTAATCATTCCAGTCTTGATCCTACAATGTTCTAATGATGGCCCACCCTGAAGCTTTTGCACAAGATCTTTCTGATATGCTCTTGCTCTGGTAGCCTAATTCCTACCTCTCCTTTAAGACCTTATTCAAAGACTCCTGTCTCATTGAACCTATCTTAATGACTGCATTCTAAATTGAAGTCTTTACTCTTTCTTTCCATAACATTATCACTGAGGTTGTCATGAGAAAGTACCTCTCAGACAACCAACTACAGAAGTAAAATTGAACAAGGGTCTCAGATAGTGCACTCTGAAATCCAGGCTGTGTGTTTGTATCCAGGCTGTGTTTTCCAGGGGCTGCCCCTAGGCAATGATTGAACATGGCAATAATGCTAAGGTAGGCTCCTTCCTGGGACACATAGGACCACTCTGGTAAGCTGACTTTGGCTCCAGGATTCTTTAATGACCTTACCAATATCTCTTAGACTGCCCTGCTGATTATGCTGTTTCCACACAACTTTTTCTCCCTCTTTCCTCCACTTGGATCTCCCATACCTCTCCAGCCTTTATTGCCTTCCTCCACATTTTCTCTCATATATTTATTTCCACTAATAAAATTTTGCACATTTAGCCACCTTGGCATTTGTTTCTCAGAAGATTCAGAATAACATAATCATCTTCTCACCTATTAGGTTCTACTTATTTATTACATTTATCTTTTACTGCCTACCACACGATGAATTCCAAGAGAGCAGGAATTTTGTTCACTTATATATTCCAAACACTTAACACAGAGCTGGACAGTGTTTAATAATATGTGCAGAATGAATGAACAACACCTGCTTTAAAAATATTAGCAAGTGTTTGTAGCATCAACTAGACAAATGAACAAACACATGACAATACCAATTACTTGACACAACTTTGCTCCTTTCTTAATTCCCTGATCCTCTTATTTTATCTAGTCTTACACTAAAAAAAAAAACAAACCAATTTTGTACTTCCTATAGTAAAAATGAGATTTGAGGGAAAATTTGATTTTAGAAAAAGATCCAGATTAATAATTGGAGGACTGCCCATCTGTTCTGGGGAGCAGATATGCAGTTCTGCTGATATTTACCACTGCTACTCTCTTGTCTTTAATTTCAGCCAAGATCTGCAGATAAACAAAATTGAAAGCTTTGAGGGTTTGATTTTTTTTAAGCTTAAATATCCATCCAATAGTAGGAAACTTGGCCCATGCCTAAACAATTCTTGTACTCTCTATTCCCCCCAAGTGTCTCTTTTGAGGATGTAAAAACAAAGATAAACTACACCCAAGTATAATTTCAGACTCTTGAAACTGCTGAGCTTCATCTTGGGATTGGGCTCTGGGATTGGGAAGCTAAAAAATACACACACACACACACACACACACACACACACACACACACACGAAAATCTTATTTCATTAGGGCCCCTATATTTCTGCAAAGGAGAATCCCACAGGGTTCTGTTGGAGGGTTTTACACCAGCTGTAATTTTTCTTGGAGCTGGATGGAGGAGGAAAGCAGGTTCAACCCTTCTTCATAAAGACTAACTTAGGCATTAGTCTGTGACTTACCTTGCCTGTGCCCTTGGACAGACCTTGATGAAGGGCTGTTGTAAGACCAGACAGTTGAAGTTCCAATCCTGACTTTGCTACTTATTAGCTATGTGGAAAATTACCTCCCTGAACCTGTTGCCTCATTTTTTAAATAGGGATAACACATTTATTATTCAGCACCTTGTCCAATAAATAGGATGTAACTCATTTGCCCATAGAGAGTGCTCAGTAAATATTAGCCATTACTATTATTAATAACAGAAACAAAGGAAATTAAACCTTATGTTCAATGTTTGGTTTGTCTTTTTTAAACTTTTCAGCTGTTAATATGAAGGTGTTTGATAGTATCCAAACATGTAATAATGAGGTAGATGGTAATTAGGGTTGACTGCATCCAAATTTAATTAAAGAACTATCCCAGAAAAGAAAACAAAGTCAATTGCAAAGTTTTCTGGTCTCTGCTTCAACCTAAGAGCTTCACTGGGTTTCACTCCTGTTTTCTAAAGGGCAAGGGAACGTCCACGCAGGGTCGGGCTGCCAGCAGTTACAGAACATCTCATCACACTTTCAAAGGCTCACTCCTCTCTCTTGCGTAACTGGTGAGGTCAAAATGGGCACCTTCATGGAAGCCCAGATTGCCATTTCTGAATGAGGTCCAAGAAAGAACTGCATTCCATAGAAATCCAAGTCAGGCACCAGCAGAGCATGGCACTTGCTGTTTAAAGTGCACTGAGCACTCCTGGAGGGCCAGCTTTTTAATATCATCACCTTAACACCTTTGATTTCTTCATGACCTAAGATTCCAAAGTTTCCAACAAACTGCTACAAATGGGGAGGTGGGAGAGGAGGACAGCCTGATGTAAATTTACCACTATGTGAAGTTCTAAAGTAACTATAGAAGTTTCTATTATTGCTCAAAGCCAAACAGAGGGAGAAAGACAAATAAGTGACTTGGCACTTCTGTCCAACTGAGGTGAGACTCTCTCTGTTTATAATCCTGGAGTGAGAGTACAGGTGAACTAACTTCCTGCAAACACACACAGACCCATGCATAAGGGGACAGCTGTGTGTTGCTGGAAAACAGTCTGATTAAACAGTGGGTTGTTCCCTGTGCCAATCCTGGAAAATAATGAATTGGGTAAGGAACAGTTAATAAGAAAATGTGCCTTGCTAACTGTGCACATTACAACAAAGAGCTGGCAGCTCCTGAAGGAAAAGGGCTTGTGCTGCTGCCGTTCAAACTTGTCAGTCAACTCGTGCCAGCAGCCTCAGCGTCTGCCTCCCCAGCACACCCTCATTACATGTGTCTGTCTGGCCTGATCTGTGCATCTGCTCAGAGACGCTCCTGACAAGTCGGGAATTTCTCCATTTCTCCCTGGTGCGAAGAGCGGATTTCTCCCTGCTTCTCTTCTATCACCTCCGTGCCTCTCCCCAAGGAGGCTCTTTGATTTATGGTAGCTTTGGACTTCCTTCAGCGTCTGCCTGTTCTTGACTTCTAGAATGGAAGAAGCTGAGCTTGTGAAGGGAAGACTCCAGGCCATCACAGTAAGTCTGCATATGGTTATAACTCATTAAGGTGGTTGCTTAGAGAAACAGCACTGGTTGCTAGCTGTCCCTGTTGCTGAGCCCCCCTCAGTGGATAAACAGATCCCTCAGCCTTCATGAATGCATCTCTGCTTCTCTTAACCCTTGTGACCCTTTATAACTCTTGGGCTTTAGAACCTGAGTGCAGGGCAAATGTTCCTGATTTTCACAGACAGTTTCTATGTTTTAAACAACAATCAAAAGCTTTTAAGGCAGTCTGGTTAATTATCATTCAGCTTCTGTGTACACCTTAAAAATACTGTTTCTCCTTTAATTTCTAATTAACAGGCATTAGATCAAAAAACAGGTCCCCAGCTTGGAAACTTTTTAAAGCAATGAATGCAGCAAAAAGTTTGGATTTTTTTAAAGGGGAGGAGAAAAAGAATTAAAACAAATGATCTGAAACTTTTTATTTGCAGTGTCATAGTATGTTCCAGAAAGCCTAACAATTAAAATGAAAGTTGGTATATTTAAGCTAAGCATTGAACAAGAGAAAAGTAGGTAAAAGCATGTATCAGATTAATTCTCAAAGATCAGTTTCCAGTACAGTCATAAACTGAATAAGATCCTGATAGAGGAATGTGGTACATGCAATGGATTTGGAAAATATTTCGTTAATGCCGGGAAGAAAAATAGTGCATTTTTTATGCTTGTTCTGGGAAAGAGTCAAAGCAACAAATGGATTACTTTTCTTAAATGATTCAGCTATTAAAAAAAAAAAAACTTCTTAAACACCGCACTTGGCAGTAATCTGGAAATTCATAACACAATCATTTATCATTAGTTGCTACTTTTAATACACTTTTTTTTTACGGGGGAAAAAACCTTGAAAATCAACACCTAATTTCTCATATTTTTTTTGCCACTGAAATGAGCTGTCAGGAAGAAATGAGTACTTTTTAAAAAACTGATACTTAATCAGTGTGGTAAGAAGGATGTTTTTCTTGTCTCTTCAAATTCTCATAGCAAAACTAATAATTCAAATTCTCATAGCATAACTAATTTAAGATTTTTATGAAATAGATACAGTGTCTTAGTTCCACCTAGGAAGGATTCAGTATGTTAAAATGTTTTCTTAGCCAGTGGTAAGGAACCAAGAGTCCATTGGTAAGGCTGGCACTCTTCCATAAGATAATACTTTTTTTTACATGTCTAACTTCTAATCATTATATTTCCTTTCTTCAGAAATCGTTGGCTTGGGTTGTTGTTTGTTTTGTTTTGCTGTTAAAACCCCACCACCATTTCAGCTGTCCTGCTTGAAAGGACAGGAACTCCCCTCTGTTGTTTTTGGCATGGATCTTTTACATTACAGCTGTCGTCTAAAGGTTGCTTTACTGGACGATGTGAGTTGTATGGTCACAAGCTCTTTTTAATGCTTCTGTCTCTTAATGAAATGAAATCATGTCCTCAATGAAATGTACAAATAGATGCTTCTGTATTTTCCTTTTTGCATTGGGGCATACCCTAGGTTAAGCCTGTACTACTTACAGTGCACCTTAAAACTCATACTGAAGTTGCACATATTCCAAAGATATGGCTGCATGCAGTTATCCAGGAAGACTAGGAATTTTCACTGAGGGTCCAAATGCAAGCAGGATCCTAATAAGTTAAAAGCAGTCCAGGGGGTAGTAAGTTCCTAAATATAGAGACACATGGATTTTTTTTTTTTGATGATTAAAAAAAAAAGAACTAATTTTTGGATTATTCCAATAACCTAAACATACCCAGTAGAAAGAATTAAGCAAAATTTCAAAGGTCACAAAGTACTTGTAGCTTAGAAGTAATATACCTGTATAAAAGTTGTAGAGAAAAATGGAAAAACTTTATGGGAACAAATTCCCATTCGCCTACACCTCACCAGGCTAAATCTAGTCACATTGGTCACCACGTAGAGGGGAAATGGAGCAGTAGTGTATCCATGGAAACAACACACCAACCTCCTCCCTCCTGGGGCCCTGGAAGTGCCAGCTTTCTCCACCCTGGCCTTACCCAGGAAACCACCTCACTATTCCCTTTCTTCCTGGGAAAATGAAAATATGTGGTATCCAGGAAGCTTGCAAGGATTATTTCATTTTTGGAAGTACTTATAATCTTCACAGTCTCTGACCTAGACTAACACTCAGAGGCAATCCTCTCATCTTAACCATTTTCCTACACTGAAATAACTTCCATGTACTTCAAGAAAAAAAATCAGAAGGCAATTGCCTAATGTACCAAGACACACCAACTCACAGACTGCACCTTGGAAGAAAAAGAAAAAAACTTTAAAACTCTAAGATATGTTTGAAGTATAATCTCTGCTCTTCTATTTATTCTACCTGGTGTCAAGTGCCTTAAAGTCATTATTTCCACTTTTCAAAGAATTGAAAAAATAAACGTATATGTCTATAATTTGACAGAAACAAATGATGAACTTCCTCTTAAAATAGATTAAGTAGATGGAATGTGGCACTTGGGCTGTCTAATTGAAAATTAAATTACTGTAGTGATGCCATTCATTTCTTGTATTTGTAAAGTGAACTTTAGTCAGAAGTCTTCTTGAAGATTTAAAGACAGTGAAGCCAAAATTATAAAACTACACAGAAACAACTGTTTAAAAGAAAGTACTTCAGTGTAGTAGTACCAAATATACACTCTACTTAATTACTTACTTTGATCTTCTTTCTTCATTACTTCATCCATGCACCAACTCTTCCTTTAGCAAATTTGTGGTAAAAATACCCCTTTGCCAAAGAGTTCAGTTTGCACCTATATTTTTTAAAAAGGACCGCTTCAAGCTGATTAATTATTATTTTTCACGCCTAAAAAGTCTCCTGATTCTATATTCAAGTTAGTACATATTTTAATAAATAGCTGATTCTGATATAAAGGGAGAGCTATTGAAGTCATAATTTGAAATTCACTTGTAAGGTCGCTAGAAATGATGATATCAATGTCTTCAGTACTTTGAAAGAAGTGGGATGAAGGCCTGAATGTGTCCCCACAGAGTTATCTCTAAAGAATTCTGTAGAAGTAAGCATGAAGAATAGTAAGAAAAAGAAAAAAAAAAAAGGCCTGGGTAGATTCCCCTCAGAAAGATCTTTTTAGGATGAATAACGTTCCATTTGCTCTTGACATCCTCCTCCACAAGGAACACGTTGTCTTATCTCTCCTCCTATGGGGACATTGGAAAAGACTGTTCCTAATGTGGGAATGTTCAAACTGGAAAACTCCTGGATCTGTAACTATCTGGAAATCACAGACTTGCAGAAACAGATCTGTTCCAAGGCTGAGCTGAATTCTGAGAATTAGAATCAATTTGCAGAGAACAGAATCAACTGAGAAGGCAGGTAACAAGATAGCTGCCATTTGTAGTGTCATCAAGGCCTAACTTTAACCATTAGGGATGTGTGTATCAACTCATTCTTTTATGAGTGGGTTATTATGTTTGGCAAAGAAATGTGACATAGCACACTGGGGGCCTTTGCTCAATTAATCATTGTTAAGCACTTCTTCTGTGTCAAGCCTTATGCATTTACATGAAAGAAGAGAAATAAGGAGCCTTGGGAACCTCCCAAGTGAAGGTGGAAGTGAGTGGCAATTTTAAGAGGAGTGGTCAGGGTGTGCTTCACAGATAGGGTAACAATTGAACATAGCTATAAGGGAGGGGGCGCTCTGTCAAAAGTTAGACAACAGTAGAAATCACAAGTAGAAACACCTACCTACAACTGCCTTCCTTTGGAAAGGAGCAACAAAAAGTCCTGACCCTGGAATTTGAGCAATAGAGCAACATTTGCCAACCAAAGCTGCTTAAGAGAAAAACAAACAAACAACAATTGCAGCAACAAAAACAAAGCAAAACAAACAAACAAAAAACCTCACATTTCCCTGGATCCACACCCTATTTCTTTCCACTTCCAAATAATTTTTTTTTTTTTTTACTTGTAAATACAGGAGGCAGGAAGTTTTTGACATAAAACAGAAATCTTCCCTTTCAAAGACCCATATTATAATAATAACATAAACACAGATGGGTTCTAATTATTCTAACATGGGTTCCCTTTACCTCATCTCCTTCTCTTTGGTCAATATTTGGGATCTTCTTAAAGTCAATAAAACATCTTATGACCCAAAGGCAGAACCTGCTACAGAATTCTCAGGGCCTGTACACAGTGAAAATGCAGCAACATTTGTTCAAAAAATATGCAAAATTTCAGGATGGTGACACCAAAGCCTAAAACTAAGAGCTGGGCCCATCTGAGCATGGTGCCCCATGTGATTTTGCAGGTCACTTGCCCAAGAAGCCAACCCTGCCTCTATATTCTAGGCCAGCCATATGTATTTCTTCCTATTCATTCTACCTGCACAAACAAAAGAGTGAAACAAGAACAAGCTAGTCTGGACCACTACTTTTGTTTGGACCATTGTATTATGTAGAGTTCTAAGAACTTCTTAAAGCACTACCAGTGGTTAAGCATGTGCATAATGAACCATTGTTACATACCATGTCTCATAGTTAAGACAAAGTTACAAAAACAACTTCTAATTTGTCATGAGCATTCAAAGACATCCACAGGAAGATGGTAAATGAAGATGTAGTAATCTCCTCAATAAAGAAGCCCTATGCCAGAATATTCAAACAATAACGCTAGGCACAATTTCCACAGTTCTGTACCAAGATTACATGTTTCTTCCAGAGAGGGAAGGATTTCTTCAAACAAATGTGCTGTGCCACATTTCTTTGCCAAACATAATAGCCCACCCATAAAAGAGACCATGTGACCAGGTATAATAATTTTGATAGCTCATTAAGGAAACTGCTTTGATAACAGGGGAAGGTTTTTCCAGTGTGCTACAGAATGATAATATTACTTCACTAGATACTCCGCTGAAAAAGATCACTATGAACTTTCTGAACATTACAGAATGGTCAAAAGATAATCTGCTTTTTTAGAAAACTGTGTTAAAACAAATTAAAGTCT